GTGATTTTATGCTTCATTACATGACCAAGTAGAAAACTTTCCCCTAATTATTATTATGAGGTCTCAGGGCAGTTCACAGAATAAAATCAAAATATAAAACCACAAAATACATAATCAAAATAAAAACCACAACCCAATAACCAGCCACCCCCCCAAGATACACCACATTTTAAAAGGGCATAGAATCCTCACAACGTTTAAAGGAAGACAATTAAGAAACCTAGAAAGAAAGCACTGCAACAATATTTATTGGCAACGAAATTGGCTGCATGCCTTTCTGATACAAAGACAAAATAGATTTGAAATAAGAGCAGGAGGGGGGAAATTAGCTTTGGTTGTTGAGCAGATGTAACATTAGTATGTCTTCTTCCACAAGGGAGAGGCCTGCATCTAATATTGCAAACAAGTCCTCTTTGCTAAGTTTCATCTTCTTTCTTATTGGCACTGTTTCTACCACTGATGCGCTTCCACTAAACATTGCTTGCACAACCCAGAACCACCATGGTTTTCTGGATCAGCCTCAGAGTCTATATATCTGTCCAGGTCTGGAAGAATGCTTGGATCAAATTCATCATCACTTTCACTGTGATCTAGAAAGGAAACACATTCCTCTTCCCCTTTTCTTTCTGACTTCTCTTCTTCCTGCCTTTTCTTTCAGTTGTTTTTCTCTGTGTTTTTCTTTAATCTCCTTCAAATCTTCTTCTTTGTCAAATTTGTCCTCTTCCTGCAGCCTCTCTTTTGCTATGTTGAGACTGATTCCACCACTGTTGTCATCATCGTCTGCTTTGTCATGAACAGATTTTTGTGCGGGTGCCCACTGCTGAATTGTCTCCCTATCTTCAGTAAACACATTTTTTGTGTGTTTACTTTACATTTTCCCTTCAATACTGTTTTTACCTTTTTTGTTTTAGTTATTCTCTTTTTCAGCTTTAAATTTGGTGTACTTGGTGCTACTTTGTCTCCTGTTTCTAAGCCAAATACATTCCACCATTTCACTGTCAGCACGTTAAGATCCTGAGTGTCGTCATCATAACTATCACCCTCTTCAAAGAACTGCAGGCGTTCAGCTTCAGAACCCTTGACCGCTATGGGCTCCTCTTCAGTCTCAGTCTGAGCCTGTGATGCATCAACCTCAGTTTCACTGTCTATGCTGGAGAGTTCTATTTTCTCATCTCCCCGCAACACTGCTGTTTTGCTGAAGGGTGCTCTGCATTTCTCTGCACCATGGTTGCTTACAGGAAAAGGGGCATCTTTGGGCTCATCAGTTTGCTGCAATGGTCTTTCTTTTCATGCTCATTCTCATGCGTTTTCTTCTGGAACTTCTGAAGAAATCATTCATGAGGGGCCACTGCAAGCCCAAGGGAGAGGGCATATTCAGCAATAGGCAACTTGAATACATCAAACACTTCCTTGTTCTTCATTAGGTAGACCGATCACAGATAGGAAACAAAATACCGTTGGACTCTCTCTTTCAACTCTTGATCTTGAGCCAAGAAAGACTGCATCTTTTTCTGGATGTCAACAAGCTTTTCAGGATTGATTTTGATGTTGTTGATGGGAAATTTCTTCTGTGACAGCTGCTGCATCATTCCCTTTTCCTCTGAAGAAAGCAGCGCAAGAAGAGTTTCCCCACCTTCTTTGTATTTGGCTGTTCTGCCAACTCTGTGAATGTAAATATTTGCATCCCCTGGACAGTCAAGCTGATTGATCCAATTCAGAGCAGAGAAATCAAGCCCCTGAGCCACAAGAACAATATCATAGAGAACTGCTGATTTCTTGCGCACAAAATAAGGGTAGACTTCCATTCTCTTCATCCGCTGCTGCTTGCCATGAAGAGCCAGTACAGGTAACCCGGGTCAAAGATGGCAGAAGACTCTAAACAAATACTGAACCTCTTTATAGCTTGCAAAAAAATACAATACTTTTCTTATTCAGTTACTGGAATAGTGAACTTTGCCTTCTCGTGTACCCAGTTACATTCTGGATCTTTCAAGCTCAGCTGGGCCTTCACCGATTTGGTTTGCAAGGCTGAGAAAAGCAGAGTTTGGCTCATCTTTTCTATGATTGCATTCATTGTATCAACAAAACCCAGGTCCACAATTCTGCCAGCTTCATTATATTACCAAACCCTGGTGAAAGTCTGTTGAAGGAATTGTGATAGATTAAGCCCTGTCTGTGAATTATGGTGAGAGTCCTATGGACTGCAAGAAGATCAAACCTATCCATTCTTAAGGAAATCAGCCCTGAGTGCTCACTGGAAGGCAGATCCTGAAGCTGAGGCTGCAGTACTTTAGCCACCTTATGAGAAGAGAAGACTCCCTGGAAAAGACCCTGATGTTGGGAAAGATGGAGGGCACAAGGAGAAGGGGACGACAGAGGACAAGTTGGTTGGACAGTGTTCTCGAAGCTACTAACATGAGTTTGACCAAACTGCAGGAGGCAGTGAAAGACAGGTGTGCCTGGCGTGCTCTTGTCCAAGGAGTCACAAAGAATCAGATATGACTAAACGACTAAACAACAAAGCCTATCTGAGTAATCCTCTGTGTATACCTTTTCAATAGATGCACATTTATTTTTAAAAAACAAACTTATAGTTCATATTACACACAGGAATGATCAGGTTCCTTTCTATTTCCACATAGTGCATAATGAAGTCCATCAACTTCTAGGGATCATCACCTAGACGTTTTCCAAACATTTTACAACAATCTTTGTATCAGATAACTACATTGTTTCATAAGTTGTATTTTGCCCAACCTCACCTCTTCTACCGCATTATATATTTTATCTATTACAAAAAGTTTCTCTATTACAATTATTTTATCATTTTTCTTCTGCTGCTTTTATCTGGAACCCTACCCATAATTTCATTAGACTGTGGTATTTTTTAAAAATAGTCCGTGAAGGGTCTCCATTCTTCTATCAAAAATCAGTATTTTGATCTCTTGATTTTGCTGACAGCTTTGCCATTTCTGCATAGTTCATTACTTTCAAAAGCCGCTCTTCTGTTGTTGGAACCTGCTCTCCTTTCCATTTCTGTGCATATAATATTCCTGCTGCTGCATTCACATGCATAAATAGTTTAGTCATCTTCATTGGGACGTCAGTCCCTATTAAGCCTATAAAGAAAACGCCTGGCTTTTGGGGAATGGCCGATTTAAACATTTTCTTCATTTCATTATATATCATTTCTCCAAAAGACTTTAGCTTTTTTACATGTCCACCACACATGGAAGAATGACCCATCTATCTGCTTACATTTCCAGCATTTACTTGACACATTTTTGTGCATCTTAGCCTGTTTGTTTAGTGTTAAATACCAAATAAAGTGTATAACAAGCAATGAATTCACATCATTTTTCCATAAGTTCTCCCAAGAAACAATATTAACATTATTAACTAAGTCTTTAGCCCATTGTATAATTGTTGACTTAACCCTTTCATCTTTAGTATCCCATTCGAGTAGCATTTTGTATATTTAAGAAATCAAATTTTCATTACTCTCAAGTATCCCCATTTCAAAATAAGATCCTTATTCCATAAAACCATTTAACACATCCTTCTTAAATAACTCATTTACTTGATGATACTGAAACCATTATGATACAAGGTCTTGAATTTCTTCTATTTTTAAAAAGAGTTTATACCTGCTTTCAGTGTAACTTAACATAGCTCTATAAATTCCCCAGTTCTCATTCATATTCATTTCTTTTGGAGCACAGGCCTTTATGGGAGTTAACCACAGTGGTGTTTTCCATTCAAGTAGATTTTTATAACTTGTCCATACTCCAAATAAACTTCTTACAGCATGATTTAGAAAGTCTTTATGGAGCTTTGCTTTTTCACACCACAAATATGCATGCCACCCATATCTTCCACCACATCCCTCTAGATCCAGCAATTTAGTCATTTTAAAAATACCCTCCATTCCTTTATTCATGTCAAACATGCTGCATCATAATATAATATTAGATTTGGAAGTTATTTGGAAGTGAGATTTCACCTCCTTCTTTAGCATCTGTTATTAATTTAAGCCTTGGTTTCTTCCCTTCCCAAATGAATTCTGACAGCTCTTTTTGCTCATTTCACCTCATTTCACACTTAAACATAATTATTTTGGTACGACATTGCATTCTTACTTGGTACCCAGATACCCAAATATTTCACCTTTTCCAACCTTAATTCCAGTCTTCTTTTGTAAAGCCTCTTTTGCTTGCTGATCCATATTTTTACTGATGTTTTAATCTTAGTTTTATTTATATAAAAACCTGCTAAAAAACAAATTGCTTTATCTTTTCAAATACGTTTACCATATTTTAAAAGGGGTCTCCTACAAATAAATCCACAACATCTGCAAATGCTTTTAATTTGTAAGTTTGTTGTCCCACTTTGATACTTTGTATCTCATCACTTTCTCTTATATCTCTACATAAGGCATCTTACACCAAAATAAACAATAATGGTGACAGTGGGAAACCTTGTTTTGTTTCTTTTGATACAAAGCATTTTTCTGACAAATTCCCATTTACTATAATATTAGCATATTGCTCTGTATATATTGCTCCCATCCGTCTTGTAAATATATTCGCAAATTCCATTGTATCCATAAGTTGCCCAATAAAACCCCAATAAACGCTATGTAGGGATCATCACCTAACTAAACTATTTTGGATGAATGTGGAGCAGGGTTGAGCCACACAGTGAAGAATGCTGCATACCACAGAGCTATTATTTTGCAGAAATAAATCTGTTCAGTATTCATACAAAGTGTTCCACAAGTAGTCCATATGGATAACTTGCATGAAATTATTGTTATAGTCACAAATATTTAGGTACAACCCACATATTTAGTCATTTATTCGCTCACTCACAAAAAACACAATGATATAGCACATAATGAAATTAGTATCTTTGACAATAAATACATTTTCTTTTAGCTCACCTATGGCGCCTTTCCCCCAGAAACGACTGACATAGATCAGGACCACATTTTATATCACATGGTGCCAAATGAAGTCTATCTGTACAAGGGGATTATCAGCTTGCTTAATCACTTTGGGTGGACGTGGGTCGGGCTCTTTGTTGTGGATGACGGGAGTGGAGAAAATTTCTTGCGGACCATGGAGCCGTTGTTTTCCCAAAATGGAATTTGTTCAGCCTTCACACAAAGAATCCAACAATCACCCCGTTTTGATGACTTGGATAAACTCTTTGACATGGTATCAAGTAATTATTTAGATTTCACAGATAGCAAAGTCAATACGTTGATCATCTATGGAGAAACTTTGACTATTGTGTGGCTAAGATTTATTGCTGAAAGTAAGGGGAATGAATCATTTAGAAAGGTATGGATCATGACAACTCAGATTGATTTTGCATTATCTAGCATTCAAAGGAACTGGGGTCTTCAGATGCTCCAAGGTGCAATTGCCTTTACCATTCATTCACAAGATGTTCCGGAATTCAGGGAATTTCTTCAGAAAGTAAAACCTTACTGGACTGAAGGAGATGGATTTGTTAATGATTTCTGGGAGCAAGCATTTGATTGTTCATTTACAAATTTTGAAGAGCCAGAATATGTCTTTAAAATATGTACTGGGGAGGAGAAGTTGGAGAGTCTTCCTGGGCATCAGTTTGAGCTACTCATGACTGGTCACAGCTACAATATTTATAATGCAGTCTATGCCGTGGCTAATGCTTTGCATGCCATTTACTCAACTAGAACCAAGCACAGAGCCATTCTGGGAAGGGAAAGATTTGAACTTCAAGATTTGCAGCCTTGGCAAGTAATGTCACTACAGCAAATAGTTTAATTTAAGCATCATATTAATTCGGGGGGAGCCTACATTCAACTTTTTCATTTCTGGAGTTGCACCCCGGGGATGGACTTGCACCCTAGCATTGTTCCTCTTAGGACTGGAGCATTAAAATACTGATCTACAATGCAGTATAAAATCCCCATTCTGCATACTTTACATGCCAATATTTTATCTTGGTGAAACTCTGTAAGCAGTATTAATAAGCATAACTGTTGGTAAAATTGTCATGAGATGATATTTCCCTCCTTTTCTTCTTTTTGTTTCATTATTTTTGTGAATAAATGTAAGAAAAAGTAATTATAAAGCAAAATTAAACAATATGCCCATCCTGTTCTTTCCCTCCCATTAATCTCCTTTTGTTTCTTTCTCTCTTTCCATTAGCTCCACTCATCTCTCCATGGCATTTCATTTAACAACTCAGTTGGAGAAATGTTCACTTTCAATGAAAAAATGGAAATAGGAGGTGGATTTGACATCACTAATATCATCACATTTCCAAACAATTCCTTCCAGAGAGTGAAAGTTGGAAGGGTGGGTCCTGGTGGTCTTGGAGGAAAAGAGTTCATCATTGATGATGACATGATTGTGTGGCATGGAGCTTTTAATCAGGTGTGACTTCTGGGTTAGCCTTAGATAGGTCTTTTGGATGTCATAAAGTTTTATTTTCTTGCTGCTCAATGTGGTGTTTTCACAGACTGTAAAAGTATATTCCCCAACCTGGTGGCCAAAAGATGTTATTGGACTTCAAATCCAATCATCCCTGATCCTTCAAAAGGCAGGTTTCTCTGAATTTTGTAAGGAAGTTATTCAGAAAAGTATTGTGTACTAAAATACATTTAGTAGTGGCAATTGCTTAGCAAAACCGTACATATCAACTGAGATGCATATTACAATAAATTTGCACTCAACTCCTGATCAATTTCTATTTCGAGGTTTTTTTCCCCTTGAAAAACTGATTGGAAATTTGGAGGTTGAAGTTAACCTAGAAAAATGGGGAAATGAGAGAAAGTGCCTTGACTAATTTCTCTGATTCTGGTATCTGTTTATGGATAGGTATTTCCCCTGTCTTTGTGTAATGAACCCTGCCAGCCTGGCAATCAAAAGAAAAGGAAGGAAGAGGAGAAATTTTGTTGCTATGATTGTGCTTCATGCTCAGAAGGGAAGTTTGCCAACCAGACAGGTAGGTAATGAGCTACTCTTTCATCAAAGAAGCTAAATAAAATTATTGGGTTAGCCGAGGAAATTTAAAAGTGACTGGTTTTCATTGTGAGTTTGTAAGCACTTGGCTAGTCATTGGTCTCTATCACACAGCCCTCCTTGATACAGTATGCAGACATTTCTCTGCTGCCTTCCAGGTTGTTCTCAGTCCTGCACATGTTTACTCAGAAGTAAGTCATGCAGGGTTAGCCAAGCTTACATCCTAATCTCTGTGGATATAATGAATAAGAACACAAGAAGAACATTTGGCTAACACCAGAGCCGTTTCCAGTGCAGGATACTCTTCACAAGATCCCTACAGAAAGCTCAAAAGGCAAAAATGAGTGCAATGGATATTCCTTATTGTTGTTTTCTAGCAACTAGTATTCACAGGCATATTGCCTCTCATACTAGGAGTAATATAGCCATCATGATTAGGAGCCTCTGAGTATGCCTCTGACATGCTATTCATTATACTTTTATCCAGGAGTAAATTAAAATGTCAACTTTTTGAGAAAATATGATAAGGACAGCTGTTTCAGAGTAAAATCAAAGAGCACTTCTATGATCATCTACTTGGTAATGAACTTCATTGAGCAAAATAAAAAAAAATTCCTTCCAGTAGCACCTTAAAGACCAACTAAGTTAGTTCTTGGTATGAGCTTCATTGAGCAAAAGAGATTTAGCTGCATAAATGCTTTATTCCAAAAAACAAGGCTTAAATTGGTTTAACCACACCTAATGTAAAAATAGAAGCAAATGGGCGATGCTCACCCCTCACACAGAAGGCAGTCATTTTGTGTTATGAAAGGGAGAACTGGGACCAGAAGGCAGAAGGTAGTGTTACAGGAAGAAAGCTGAAATTGAAGTCCACAATCTCATAAAGAAATCTGAAATCATACACACATGTCTTTGTTGCATTTATTAAAGGATAAATAAGGGAAGGAACAGCACATCATATGCTTACATGGATTAAACATTTCCAGTAGTGTGAAGCAACACTCCAGTCCTTTTCACCATTCCATGTCAAACATCACCTGAACATTCCTGGACCCCAGAGTCACACTATACTGTCCCTGTCACTCTTCTCTGATGTCTCTATGTGCCTAGAACCTCCTAGAACCTGATCAAAGTCTTCCTTCAACAGATTGAACTCAAAATCTAGCAACACTTTATTCTTTTTCACTATCCCATCAGTCATACTCTTTCCTCTTCCCATGGCCTAACTGTCCCAATTGCCACGTCCCATGTTTCCAATTCCCAGTTGTTAAGACTTCATCATTTTATTTACCTCTAGTTTTCCCAGCCAACTAGGCTTTTTGAAACATATAGAATCCAAATCAGGAACACAAAATAACCATCCCAACACAAATATAAATACGTCATTATAATATCTGCAACTGCCATATAGGAATTAGCATGAGGAATGCTTATACACCAAGGAGAACTGACACTGAAATCAAATTTAATTTTGTTTTCCAGATATGGTTGCTTGTTTCAAATGCCCAGAAGATCAGTATCCAAGAGAGGACAAAACTCAATGCATCCCCAAAGCAATAAGGTTCCTGGCTTACAAAGAAACATTAGGATTCAGTTTGACTTTAGTTGCTGTGTTTTTTTCCCTGATCACAGCTTTGGTGCTAGGAACTTTTATTAAGTACAGAGATACCCCCATTGTGAAGGCCAACAACCGCGACCTCACCTACGCTCTCCTCATCTCTCTTTTTCTCGGCTTCCTCTCATCTTTGCTGTTCTTGGGCAAACCTGAGAAAGTGACCTGTCTTCTTCGCCAACCATCCTTTGGGATTGTCTTCTCAGTGGCTGTTTCTTGCGTGCTGGCAAAGACCACCATTGTTTCTCTAGCATTCATGGCCACAAAACCTGGATCCAGAATGAAGAAATGGGTGGGAAAAAGCCTATCCAACTCTATTGTCCTTTCCTGTTCCCTTATTCAAGTCATTATTTGCACTACGTGGTTGGCAACTTCTCCGCCATATCCTGATTTAGACATGCACTCGGTAACAGAAGAAATCATTCTACAGTGTAATGAAGGGTCCACTGCCATGTTTTACTGTGTCCTTGTCTACATGGGACTCTTGGCAATCATCAGCTTCTTTGTTGCATTTCTTGCCCGGAAATTACCAGATAGTTTTAATGAAGCCAAGTTCATCACATTTAGCATGTTGCTCTTTTGCAGTGTGTGGGCCACCTTTGTGCCAACCTACCTGAGCACCAAAGGAAAAGACATGGTGACTGTGGAGATCTTTTCCATCCTGGCTTCCAGTGCTGGGTTATTGGGTTGCATCTTCACTCCTAAATGCTATATCATTGTTTTGAAGCCTGAGTTGAACAGCAGGGAGCAAATGTTAAGGAAAAATATTTAAATATTATTATTATTATTATTATTATTATTATTATTATTATTATTATTTATTACTACTACTACTACTACTACTAGAAGAAGAAGAAGAAGAAGAAGAGTTTGGATTTGATATCCTGCTTTATCACTACCCTAAGGAGTCTCAAAGCGGCTCACATTCTCCTTTCCCTTCCTCCCCCACAACAAACACTCTGTGAGGTGAGTGGGGCTGAGAGACTTCAAAGAAGTGTGACTAGCCCAATGTCACCCAGCAGCTGCATGTGGAGGAGCGGAGACTCAAACCCGGTTCCCCAGATTGCAAGACTACCGCTCTTAACCACTACACCACACTGGCTCTGCTACTACTACTACTACTACTACTACTACTACTACTTACATTTAGAGATTTAAAAGTGACCTACTAAGGTCAGCAGAAAGGTTGGAAAACATCAGAAAGCCAGAAAACTGGATGCTAAGCAGAAATCTGTGCACAAATAGAACAATCCCATTTGCTGATGCCTTTTTGCCCGCAGCCTCTTACTTTCTGGACTGTATGACTTGGTATTTGGAAATAAGAGGCATGGGCAGAAAGTCATTCCAACCCTGTGTACCTCTCTCAGTGCTTTCCAAGTTAGGTGGACTGTCTTTTCCCCAAATTAAATGTGTGTGGACCACTGGATAGCTCAGTTGGTTAGAACATGCTGCTGATAACACCAAGGTCATCAGAGTGGCCAAGGTTAGGCCCAGTGCTTTTTTTGCTTTTTTAAAAAGAAATGTTTAGGGGTACTCTCATTTTCCTACTCATATTGAAATACTGCCCCTAAATGAGGCCAAACTTAGATTCACAAAATGTTTAGGGGTATGCGTACCTCTGCGTGTCCCCCCCCCCAGAAAAAACACACCAAACCACCGGTTATGCCCAGTGGAAATATGGGAAACCTGTAAGCAGAACCTGAGTACAACAGCACTCATAAGAAAGTAAGAAAAGCCTGCTGGATCTGGCATCCTCTTCACACAGTGACCAATCAATTGCCTGCAGGCAGTGGCGAAGCTGCATGCTGCAGCACCGGGGGCAGAGAGCAGCTGTTCATGGCATGTGTTGGGGGGCAGACACGATGGTACCCCCCTCCCCGATGGTGCTGGGGGCGGTGCGCTCCCCTGCTCCCTTTCCTCTGCCAGTGCCTGCAGGGAACTTTCAAGCAGGATTCGTGCACAAGATCACTCTTCCCTTAGAAACATGACATGATCTATGAAGTGGAGGTAGCTGCTTCCCCCTGGTGTTGAGAATGAACAATGATTAGTATGTGTGTTCCTTAGTCTTTTTTTAGGATAATCTGAGGGGCCTTTCCACCATGGGTTTCTCTTTTTTTTTTTTAGCATGGATTTGTTGAGTGTAAAGATATGGAGGCAATTTGAAAACACAATAACTGTGTTTGGTGTATATACAGGCATTCAAAATCAAGTGATGATGACTATGTGAGGATGGAGAGCAGGGCTCCTGCTCACTATAACTCTGCTGTTGCATTGGTTCTGAACACCAAAACAGGGCTTGTGGTTGTGCTTAACCCATCAAGCTTTGGAAGATAGCAAACAGTGTCATCTCTGCTGCATATCACAGAGATGTCTTTGGCATTTCTGCCTAGGTGTAGTTCATGGCTAGAATGTAGCCTCCAACAGGAATGCAAAAATTCTATCCATTGCTCCATTCACTTTGCCCTCTGCTCCCCACCCACTAGTATATGACCCTCAAAAGATTGCTAATGAATCAATGTGGCCCTGCATATTAACACCCACAAACAACCAGCTGCTGTGATATGAACAGAAATTTACCTTTGAAGACTATGGAAGAGAGAACCAGTTCAAGCAAAAGTACCATTTCCCCCAATTAAATAATGAGAGAGTTGAAAGAGAAAACTAGTCCCAGGTCCATATGATGGAATAATTGAAGAAATGAGTATGTATCACTGATTTAAAGAGGAATCTCTCTCTGAAAATTTGCACAGTCAGCAGGATAAAAGCACCAGCGCAGACTTTTGGCAACCTGTGACAGGAGGCTAGAAGTATTATACTGCAATAATCCTATTAATATTGTCCAATCTGAGTTCTTACATGATGTGTTGCATCAGAGCATAGCCATCATGCCTAATGCCATCCATGTTCAAGTCTAATGAAAGTTTGTCTTCTGCACTGTGTGAAGACGCAAGGTGTGTTCCATTTTGTTGCTTCATATGTGTTGTGCTTTGTCTTGTAAATTTTAAGATTGCTTTATTGTATTGTTATGAGTTTGTGGGTGACAGACTCCTCTAAGTTCCTTGATATTGTAAGTGTTAGAATTTAATCAATGATTGTGGTGTTAAACTGAATGCCAGGCCCATCACTCAGCAAGTCTTGAAATATAAGTTAGCATAGCTTTCTGTGTTCATGGAATCACCTGGGTGCTGGGCTATTAAGGGAGAGCAAAGGAAAGGTGATGAGCCATTGAGAAAGCAAAGGAAATGGGAATCTGTGCCAGACGTCAGATGGGTAGAGCCCCTCCTCTAGTTCTTAGTCAGGACAATACCAGAGTTGAGGGCAATATTGGCTATGATGTGATCTAGAAGAAAAGCAGACTGGGAAGCCAGAGCAGCAGAGCACAATATTTGATTTCTGTGTGAATCTAAGGATTTGGCTATGAGATAAACAAGGGCCTCTTGTGAAACCATCCATTGTAGGCTCAGGTTGTGTATATGTGTAAATAAACCGTATATCATAAAGATACCAGAGTCTCCACTGTGCCTAATTTCCAAAAAGAAACACAGATCCAGGGTAAGTGCCAGGAACCCCTGGAATCTCAGACTGCTTAGAGATTAATGTGGTGTGGAACAGCATTTTTATAATTTTACATTTTTTAAAATTGCTCCAAGGTATTACATTATTCAAATGGGGGACATTGATTGGTTATCCAGTGGAAGTTATGGTCAGGGTAATGATAGATAGAGAATAGATTAGATAGATGATAGATAGATAGATAGATGATAGATAGATAGATAGATAGATAGATAGATAGATAGATAGATGAGAGAGAGAGAGAGAGAGAGAGAGAGAGAGAGAGAGAGATGATAGACAGACATGGTGATGATGACAATAACAAACTGCCTGGTAACCCTTAGCTCCTCAAGCTCATGAAAATCCCCCATTCCCTGCTCAAACTTTGTTTTGAGAATTTCGCTTTCATCCTGTCCTTAACATTTCAAGCTGAAAATTCTTGCCACTAAGCTCTAGTTAATTCTACACAGCAAATGCATTGTTGAAAAAAATGTTTATTCTAATGTCCTTGAGCAAGGTGGAGTTGGACAAGCCTTCAATGTACAATTTAGCTCTCTTTGTGTCCCTAATCAAGGTTGGGACTTAATTTCCCCCCTTTGGTGTTTGCTCATCGAAAAGCTTGGAACTGACTTCCCACTCCTCTTTGAGGTCAACATGGTGTGTGTATTTGGGGGAACGGGACCTAAAAATGCTATTCAGGAAGAAACAATTATCTCCCCCTGCAATTATCTACTCCACCATGACTTGATCACCAGAGCGTCCATAGGAAACACTAAAAAACATGCAATGAGCAAGTCTGAAAGTACTGATGCACCAGCTACTGTGCCATTCAGAGATGGGAGTAGGAGCAAGATGCAGGCAGGACTCTGTCAATGCAATTTCTCCCTTTTCCCCTCTTCTTTCATGTTAGGTTTTGAATTTTAAGTCAGAGCGTTGGGAACCTCCATTTGTTTCCAAGGCATGTGTTTATAACCATGTTGATGGTGTCAGGCCTTTAACTCAAGAAGCTGCTTTTGATGAACATCTGATGGATTTTTAGGAAAACTTTGGCACCAGAATGCTTTGGCTTCTAGAACTGATGCTTCTGCTGCCTAACATAATTTGCAATGTACTCTGCCCTGTCAGTGATCCCTTTCCTGTTGTAAATGAGTGGCATCAGCCAGGTGGGTTCATCGTTGGTGGGATTACTTCTCAGATTGTTAGTATGTTGAACGGAATTTCATTCAAGCACCCACCTTCTCAGGACCTGTTTGAAATACCGGCGTAAGAAATTATTATTTTTTTCTCTTTGTGTTGCCTGGCCCCAGTACAGTCACAAAGATTTGTTTATGCCTGTGAGAAGTTACCCAATTAAAGTGCATGTATGCTTAATTCAGTGCAAAAATATTCTTTCTTGATCTCTTGTCCTTTGTACCACACACACACAGAAATGACCCTTTTAATTTTAGTGGTATGCAATTTCTCAGCAGTATGCTATGCATGTCTAATGAGCCAAAAACCTCATTGAGTCCAATGGAGCTTACTCCCACGTAAGTGTGTAGAGGATTTTAGGTTGCATCAGATTTGCATGAAACAGAATTCCTGACACAGATCTTGGCCCTGAATAATTTGGGGAACTAGCACAGTGTTTAATTAAGTGTTAAATGCCTAACTGGGGTGGGGGAGTAAGCACATGGACATCTTATCTAATTCAGCATTCCTACAATAGGAAACCAGGTTCCTACAGAAAGCCCCAAACACTATATGAGCACAATAATTGCTCTCCCATACTGTTCTCGAACAAGTAGAATTCAGAACTATGTTGTCACTGATCCTGTAGATTCCATGTGGCCATCATGATTAGGAGAGATGAATAAACCTTTATGGATTTCTCTAATCACTTCTCTATTAAAAGCTTTAAAAATAAATAAATAAATAAATAAATAAATAAATAATACCTCTGTTATGACAGCATCTCTTTCTATACAATTCTGAATGAAATTACTCTACCATAAGCTTTCTATTGCATCTCCCCATCAATAGAACCTTCTCCACTGGGAGGACTGCTTGGCTCCAACTTTATCTTCATTTCTGCTTCAAGCAATGGCATTTCCATTTCCCCAGAGATTCTGGCAGCACTAATGATTGAATGCTTTTACTCTGACTATGTTTTTTCATATGCTTATATATTTTTATTACTGTATTTTTTCTTCTTGTAAATCATTTCATGGCCTTCTAGAACACAAAGATAAATTAAGTAAACCTAATCTTGCCTAAACTGAAGAATAAAGTAAACTATCAGCTGCAAAACGTTTGTAACAACTCAAAGAATGTCCTTAAACTCCACATAAATTGGAGATTAAGTGAAAGATTAATTGAGCTCTATTTGCAGGGTTCTGCCAAAATTCTATCAGCATGCCCTGGCCTTGGCATTTGCTGTAAATGAGATCAATGAGGACCCCAAGATCTTGCCCAATGTCACTCTTGGGTTCCACATATATGACAACTACTTTGATGCAATGATGACCTACCGTACCACTCTGGATGTGTTCTGCAAACCACACAGCTTTTCCCCTAATTACAAATGTGATGCCCACAAAAACCCCATTGTTGCTATTGGGGGACTTGGCTCTGATACTACCTTCCGCATGGACAACATCTTCAGTCTCTACAAGATACCACAGGCAAGATATTTGAATGGGTCAGTAACTGATGTTCTGTGAGTGTTCTGGTGATTCTGAATGTCTGGTGAATGGTGGAGGGACTAAAATTAAGAGAAAATCCTTGTGGGAGAGTGTTTTAACCTTACCCTATTTAAGTATTTGTATGCCAATGTGATGTTAATAAGGTGGTGGAGGAAGCAGGGATGTGTGTGTTAAACATGTCCTCTTAGTCAAACTTCTCGTTACGTGTTGCATAGCAACTGCCTGTTTCAGAGAGCCTACCATGTATTCTAGAACTGAGGAGACAATTCTTACAAAATTGAGAAGGAATGCTCCCCATGTAGAGGCGGTTCCGTGTGACACATGGCCTCCTTCCAAGTCATGGTGCAGACTAGATCACTATCTCCCCTGCTCTACATGGGCCCTGTTTGTCAGGTGACATCAGGTGGCTTTTTTGCCCTATGTATGCCTTGCACCTATGTAATGCCTCCACTTAGTGGAGGCCATTGTGAAAAGCAGGTCAGCTTGGCTTGGACAAAAGGGTCACATCGTCCAAATGTGGAGGTCCAGGAGTATAAAGTTTGCCACCTATCGTAGAGAATGACCAAGAGCACAATGCAAGTACTAATGTAAGTGCACTCCTTCCTTGATCAGATTTAATATTATTTAGTGGAGGATATGTCTGCTAACTCCCTGGAAAAGACCCTGATGTTGGGAAAGATTGAGGGCAGAAGGAGAAGGGGACAGCAGAGGATGAGATGGTTGGACAGTGTTCTCGAAGCTACCAGCATGAGTTTGACCAAACTGTGGGAGGCAGTGGAAGATAGGAGTGCCTGGCGTGCTCTGGTCCAGGGGGTCACGAAGAGTCGGACACGACTAAACGACTAAACAAAACAACAACATGTCTGCTAAGCCTGCAAATTCGTTCAACAATTATTTGTTCCATAAAAATTGCTAGCATTTAAATACTGATCCTAAACTCTCTCTGTTTGTAAATTCTCTTTCAGTTCATGTATGGCACATTTCACCCAGAAGAGAGTAATCCAGGTCAGGTCCCCTCCTTTTACCGCATGGTCCCCACTGAAGCCCCACAATATATGGGGATTGTCTGGCTACTTCAGCATTTTGGATGGACATGGGTTGGACTCTTTGTTGTAGATGGTGCCACTGGAGAAAATTTCCTGCAGACCCTGGAACACTACTTTTCCCTGCATAATGTATGTTCAGCTTTCACACAGAGACTCCCAGAACAAGCAAGTCTGAAGGACTTAGATGCTTTTCCTTTCATTATCTCAAATATATATGTACATTACATTAAAACTACAGTTAGTGTTTTCATTTTGTATGGAGAAAATTTAACATTTACATGGCTGATGACAGTTTTCTTTTTTTTGGGAGACCCTCACAAGGGAAAAACCATGTTGTTGGGAAAGGTGTGGATTATGACAACCCAGATTGATTTTATGTTATCAGGCCTTCAAAGAACCATGAATTTACAGCAGTTCGATGGTGCCATTTCTTTCACCATTCATTCAAAAGACCCCCCAGGCTTCAAAGAATTTCTCCAAAACATTAAACCGTACAAGAACAAAGGAGATGGTTTTCTCAAAGATTTTTGGGAGCAAGCATTTGACTGTTCCCTTCCCAATCCTGGCATACCAACAGAAAACAGTTGTATGGGAGAGGAAAGTCTTGAGAGTCTTCCTGATGCTCTCTTTGAAATGCACATGACGGGCCACAGCTACAGCATCTACAATGCTGTGTATAGTGTAGCACATACACTGCATGTTATTGACACATCTAGATCCAATCACAAAGCAATATTGGCTAGCAAAAAAATTGAACTTCAGCATCTCAAGCCTTGGCAGGTAGTGTCTCAAAGTTTGTTTGTTTTCATTATTATCATTTCACTGAATGTACTATTGCAAAATGTCAATACATATTAAACCAGGAACTTATTGCAAAGGCATACACAAACAACTTGAATGGGCAGAGGGTGTTCCTCAAGGACCTGGGTCCAAAGATCTTTATAGCTTTCCATCTTATTTATAAAAACTCAGGTTCAAGATGGAAACAAATTGGCAGCTTGTGCAGGTCTCTAAGAGTGAATGTATGAGGGTCCCATCCTACTTATAAAGGTGGAAATACCTTATCAGGATTCAGATTCCATTTATTCACCCTTGTCAAGTAGATTGCAGAGGCCTGTTGCATGTTCCAAATTCTCCTGGTCTCAACTGAGAAATTGAGCTAGGTGTCATCTACAGCTCATGTGCAAAATACCTGTCATAAAATATTTGTTTGAAGTCTCCAAAATATTATTATCTCTTTGGAATTTATTGTTTTTCTTCTTTCTGTTAGCTCTACCCATTTCTTCAAGGCATTTCTTTTAACAACTCAGTTGGAGAAGCAATGTTCTTCAATGACGAAAGGGAAGTAGAAGGAGGATTTGACATTGTGAACATAGTCACATATAAAAACAGGTCATTCCAGAGAGTGAAAGCTGGAAGTGTGCATCCCAAAGACCTCGGAGGAAAACAATTCATCATTAATGAAGATATAATAATGTGGCACAGAACATTTAACCAGGTGGGAAGTTAGGGTACACTTTGAAGAAATATATAGTAGGGTTCAGTGGGATCCAGATGCAGGTTATTTATGCCCCACCAGTCACTTTTCTCAATTGGGAGACAACCTCAGACTACTTACGTTTTGATGTTTGTTTTTTGTTTTGTTTTTAAAGTTCAATTCTAAACACATTTCCTGTTTTTGGATAGATGCTTCCTGTTTCTGTGTGTAATGACTACTGCCCCCCTGGTTATCAGAAGAAAAAGAAGGAAGGGGATAAATTTTGCTGCTATGACTGTGAGCAATGCCCTGATGGGAAGATTTCAAACCAGATTGGTAGGTGACTTTTTCCATTGTACAGGGTTGAATAATTCAGAATAATTCTGGAACACGATTTTCAATAGTTAAATTATCTTTGTTAAAATATAGTGCCCTGGCTAGCCAGTCAGTCCTGGAATCAGACTGGTTCCAGAAATCTTTCAGAAATTAAGAGTGCAAGAAGCATTCAAACCTAGGCAAAGTTTCTTGACACAAGGAAAACCCACTTAACTTAGTGGGATGTCTGAGTAAAGATACAATTTTGATTGCTGTGAATATCCATGACTTATTAATGAATTCGAATCAAAATAAGATCTGTTTCTATATTTCAGACACGAGCTACTGTTTGAACTGCCCAAAACATCAATATTCCAACATGAAGAGAGACGGATGCAACCCAAAAATAAAAAGCTTTCTGTCTTATGAAGAACCTTTAGGGATCAGTTTAGCCTCCCTTGCTATTTCTTTTTCCTTGATTACAGTGTGGGTGTTGGGGATCTTTATTAAGTACAGAGATACCCCCATTGTCAAAGCCAACAACAGGGACCTCACCTACACTCTCCTCATCTCCCTCCTGCTCTGCTTCCTCTCATCTTTGATGTTCCTGGGCAAACCTGGAAAAGTGACCTGTCTTCTTCGTCAACCATCTTTTGGCATCGTTTTCTCAGTGGCTGTTTCTTGTTTGCTGGCAAAGACTACCATTGTTTCTTTAGCATTCATGGCCACAAAGCCCGGATCCAGAATGAAGAAATGGGTGGGTGGGAACCTGTCCAACTCTATTGTCCTTTCCTCTTCCCTAATTCAAGCCAGTATTTGTACTATGTGGTTAGCAACTTCTCCCCCTTTCCCTGATTTAGACATGCTCACAGTAACAGAAGAGATCATTCTGCAATGTAATGAAGGGTCAGTCACCATGTTTTACTGTGTCCTTGGCTACATGGGCCTCCTAGCCATTGCTAGTTTCGTTGTGGCATTCCTAGCCCGCAAGTTACCTGATAGTTTTAATGAAGCCAAGTTCATTACCTTCAGTATGTTGGCATTTTGCAGTGTGTGGGTTTCATTCCTTCCAACTTACCTGAGTACAAGAGGGAAATACATGGTGGCTGTGGAGATTTTCTCCATTTTGGCCTCCAGTGCTGGTTTACTGGGTTGCATATTTTCACCAAAATGCTACATAATTTTGTTCAGGCCAGAGCCTAACAGCAAGGAGCAACTAAGGAAAAGATAATAATATAGTTCTCTTTCCCTACCTGGATATTTATTGTAGGAGCAAATACATTACTTTTCCATTCAGGGCCTTCTTGGTGGCTGCTCACAGTCTTTGGAAATTCCGGCACTGAGAAGTTAGATTGGTTCCCTCCTTGTTTTCCTTCTGCTAGGAGGGGATTGGTTGTTGCCTCCCTCATTGTTTTTGCTGTCTTTGCAGCATGAAAGTGACCTCTCTGGGGCAGAAGCCTGGGCAGGGTATACGGAGCTCCTGGGCTACCCAGATGAGAAGACCCTCCTCTACAAGACCCTTACCTCTACACCATAGTTACTAACATCCCCCCCCCCAATGCCTCTCTTCTTACTGCTGCATTTAATGGCTACTCAGTGCCCTTTTCTCTTTTATTTTCTGGCATAGTCACAATAGCTTGTGCTGGTTTTTCTAATATTGCAATTTTCAGGAGTGGGCAAATATTTACATTGCAAGGACCACATCCCCAAACATCTCATAGCCACTTGCATTAATAATTTCTGCTGAATTCCTTGAATAAGACCCTCTGCAGAGTAAACATGAGTAGGCTCCACCACAAGAATGAGTTCAAATAAGTTTTACTGCAATAAGTTTTATTCCCATTAAAGACATATTTTATGATTTTGATATTTGTATAGTAGGCTATTTTCTACACACACTTTTAGGCTGCTGTCTATCCTCCATCTATACAAGCTAGAGGACTGATTAGACTTCAAGGGTAAAATGCAGAAAGGCAAAAGCGTTTGGGGTTCTGAGTTGGGTCAGTGAGGAGTGTGACCTAGGAACATAGAGAGGCCTGGAAAGCCTAATTCCATCCCAAACTCCTTCCTCTGCTGTGATGAGCTCTTTGTTTGTAACATTCTTTATGACTTATATGTTTGTGAGTGTTTTGTCTAAATTGTGAGAGGTGTTATTTGAAAAAGCTATCTATATTTGTAATAAGTAAATAAAATATTGGAAGACATTTTCAAGGGCTTATGAATAATAATAATAATAATAATAATAATAATAATAATAATTAAAATTCACAGCTTTTCCTAACTACGCTATTGATGTAGCAGGTCATGCACTTCCCTCTCTCTCTCATTCTAGGCCAAAGCCTTCAAAAAGTAGGAATAACACCATCATGGCACTAAGCAAAGTCCAGCAATGTCAAGCAATGTCTGGCGGTCTTTCCCCCTCCCATGTGAATTAGCAGCAAGAGATAATGGTCAATAAGATTGATGATAAGCCGTCCAATACATCCTGGCCAACACACCTCCAACACTCACATGCAAGACAACACACCTCCAAAAATCATGTTATTATGGCACAAATTTCTATTTCTATTTTTTACTTTGGTCTGAAAATAGTAGGGTTGGCTTTCTCAGTGGGAAGTCACCAAGTTACACTACAAATCTCTTCCTCATTGGGACAGTAGCAGAACTCCTTCCGTCCACAGAGGGAAATAGCTCACTGGTGGGGCACATGCTTCACATACAAAAAATGGAGACATGTTCAATTCTTGGTGCCTCCAATTAGAGTTCATCAAAATAATTATCTATAGGGTGTTGTGTTTGCTTCAGAGCTTCAAAAATGAAGACAGGGCATTCCTGAATGTTCGTTTCTGGAGTGATCTTCAATGGGTCCACCTTATGTATCTGGTTTTATTGCACTTCCTTAGAAACCTCCCTTTATTTTGTCCTTTTGAAAAGTTCAGCCCATAAACCCTAACCTGAAGCACTACTTTAGCTAATGGGGCCTCCTGCTGCCGCCGCGCCGCTGAAGTATGATTTCTGTTGTCATCCTGAAGCAAAGTTCTTAACCTGAAGCACTATTTCTAGGTTAGCGGAGTCTGTAACCTGAAGCGTATGTAACCTGAAGCGTATGTAACCCAAGGTATCTCTGTAATTTCATAACCAGGCTACAGCCCCAGAGACTTCCCAGAAATGTATTTTAATATTTTGTTGGAAGCTGCCCAGAGTGGCTGGGGAAACTGCCCAGATGGGTGGGGTATTATTATTATTATTATTATTATTATTATTATTATTATTATTATTAACTTTCTAGGCCACTACCATGTCTTCCTGTGCCCACCTTTCATTCTAAGCTAAAAATAAAACTTCAGATGTTTTACTTTCTGATAGCCCAATTGCTCCATCAAACTCAGTGAGAATAGTAAATAGTCAGTCATGGATGATGGGATGTAGTCCAGCAACATTTGGAGGGTCACAGGTTAACCACCCCTGTATGAAGGCCTCCTTTTCCTGTTGATTTTTTCATAGCCTGGTAGCCACTCCTTGTCTCACTAAGGGACAGAGCAGGCTTGTGCTGCAATCAGCAGGTGGGGAGGATCCAACATGTTTTCTGTTCAGAGTGCTACTCGGAGATTCAGTCCTGCAGGTATCATTATCACCCCCTGCAATTATCCATCTGGCCAAACCTCTAGGGCTTTCCAGAAAGCACAGAAATAAGCATTATTGGAAGCTGGGAGTAGGAACAAGAGGCTGACAGGGCTCTGCAATTTTCTTACTGGCAGTCCATGTGACTAGTTAAGGCTTCAGATCAGAGTGCTGGCCATCCCTGCATGCATCCGAAACTCTTTGGATGCTGAAAGTAAGACCGCAGAGTTTCCTTTTTGGAAGTAAATATGCAAAGTCTGTTTATCTTGTTCCAGCCAGGATGCTGCTTTAGATAAGGCACGGGAGAGCCAGCAGTGAAAGAGGAGCTTTGCTGCCAGGATGCTGTGGTTCATTGTGTTCCTGCTTCTGTTGCCTAAAAGGGAATGCAAAACATGTCCTGCAAATGATCCTTTCCCTATTCCACGTGAGTGGTATCAGCCAGGTGGCATCCTCATAGGTGAAATTGCTTCCCATATCATTTACATGTCCGAGGAACTTTTCTTCCAAGAGCACCCTTCTCAGAAGCTAATTGATGTTTCAGAGTATGAATTTTGTTCTTTTCGTTCCATGTCTGCTTGAAGAGATAACTTATATGTCATTCTCCCTGATGACTGGGGCTTCTAATTTAGAAGTTGGACTATTATTATTATTATTATTATTATTATTATTATTAGGAGGAGGACGAGAGATTTAGGATGATATCCAGTGTTGGACATACTCTTAGAATATTCACTGAAAGAAATATATTTCAGTAAGTAAAGTCAATAAATTTCAATGGCTACAACTTTGGGATGTATCAGAGTACATTAATGAACCTAAGTTAACCACGTCAATTAAAAATATAAGAAGAACCTGCTGGATCAGAAAAAGGACATCTTCTCACAGTGACCAACCCAATGTCTAAGGGAAGCCCAGAAGTAAGAGCTCCCCACTCCTGTGGTTTCCAGCCACTGCTATTCAATAATAATAATAATAATAATAATAATAATAATAATATGTTGCCCATCTGGCAGGGTTGCCCCAGCCACTCTGGAGAACTCACAACAGATTATTAAAAATACAATAGGACATGATGTAAAACATGGGTGGGCAAACTAAGGCTCAGGGGCCGGATCCGGCCCAATCACCTTCTAAATCCAGCCCGCAGACGGTCTGGGAATAAGCGTGTTATCACATGAGTAGAATGTGTCCTTTTATTTAAAATGCATCTCTGCGTTATTAGTGGGGCCTGGCTGGTGTTTTTACATGAGTAGAATGTGTGCTTTTATTTAAGATGCATCTCTGGGTTATTTGTGGGGCATAGGAATTCGTTCATCCCCCCTCCCCCAAATATAGTCCAGCCCCCCGCATGGTCTGAGGGACAGTGGACCTGCCCCCTGCTGAAAAGGTTTGCTGACCCCTGATGTAAAAATTGGGCTTTGGCTTTTGCTGCCCAACTCTCCATGGGACTCTGAGTCCCCTAAGTCCATGATCAGTCAGAGAAGAAAGGTTGGAGGCTGGATCCAGTGGAAAGCAAGGCAGATATTTATTCTTTTCTGTTGCATTAGAGTTCCCTCCCCTCCTTCCAAGGAGGGAGAGACCCTTAACAAAAGTGTGCAAGAGCCTTTAAAGACTTTTGACATTGCCCAAGCCTCTTAGTCAAATACCACCTCAAAAACATTATACATACATCATAGGAGGCGGTCTACAATGAAAATCCTGTCTGACAGGATAACTGATAACGGTCACTGATTGCATTACCTGGGCAGTCAGGCAATTTTTTGTGATGGTTAATACTTTAGCTCCTGAATCCAGGTCACAGACTCACCCTATCCACACACAAGGTAATGGTACCTCTGCCCGTACGGGCCAGTCGTGTCCGACTCTAGGGTTGTGCGCCCATCTCACTTAAGAGGCCAGGGGCCAGCGCTGTCTGGAGACACTTCCGGGTCACGTGGCCAGCGTGACGAAGCTGCTCTGGCGAGCCAGCACCAGCACAGCACACGGAAACGCCGTTTACCTTCCCGCTAGAAAGCGGTCCCTATTTATCTACTTGCACTTAAGAGTGCTTTCCAACTGCTAGGTGGGCAGGAGCTGGGACCGAACGATGGGAGCTCACCCTGCCACGGGGATTCGAACTGCCGACCATGCGATCGGCAAGCCCTAGGCGCTGAGGTTTTACCCACAGCGCCACCCGCGTCCCTACACAAACATGACATTAAAACAAGATTTGAAGGATTTGTAAATGAAAAAACAATGGGGAAGCTTTTCCCCTTTGCCTCCCTTACTGCAGATGAATATTTGAGGTCATTTATGGAGTCAAAATGGCTTCAGGATTGCTCTCCTGTACTATTTCAGACACATGGTTTATAGATTTAGATATGTGTGAATATTTAGACATTTGTGAATATTTATTCTATATTCGAGAACTTAGAATTTTTTAACAAACATCAAACTTTAAAAACTTCCCTATACAAAAGCAAATTCAAACACTATCGCTGAGAAAGCTTTCAGCTGAGGTGGGGCTAGGTTGTCTCACCACCCCTACCACCACCACCATAATTTTTTATTTGAATCCTGTCCATCTGACTGGGTTGCCCCAGCCACTCTGTCCTGCTTCCAACAAAATAT